AACACCCACTGTTAATGTGATTTACAGCTGACAGCAGAGTGGGATTGGTTGGACATGCTCTTCTCAGCAAGGTCAGACATTTCAGTGTCTCTGGATGGTCCTCCTGTCCTGAGAGGCTCAGATTACATGTGTGTGCCAGGACTATAACTCTGAGACGCTATCAAGCAGAGCCAAACTGAGTCATAAAGTTGGGAGAAATGAAGCAGCAGCATCGGCATGATCCTGACTCCTTTAGAAATTCTACACAGCTTATGTAAAGTTGATAAACATTTACAGAAACTTGCTTGTTGAAACACTAAGGAGAAGATTTGCAAAGAATGGCTTGTGAGCGCAAAAGCAACATGAGTCGAGCTTCATTGAAGCAGCTTTGCCCCCCTTTGCAAAGTCTGATTCACAAGTGACATGTAGATATCATAATCTTCATTTTAAAGCATTATTGCAATTTCCAGAAGTGACACGCTAAAATAACTGTAAATAGCTCGACACTAAGCTAAAGGCTAAATCCTATTAAAGATGTCCTAAGTGCACTTTTTGACGTCTTTTATACATAAATAAGTGTCCCCGGTGTGTCAGGGAACTCACAAACTGTCAGAAAACAAAACCCTCTCTCTTTTCCTCAGTTGCGTCCGATATGATGTAATATCTAAAATGTGGGCTGGCTTCACACCCACGGCCCTATCAGAAACAATGTGCAACATTTTGGAAGTAATATGGTCTTGGTTTACATTAGCAAGCAGCGCTAACACTCAGAGCTAACCTGTACTGGAGAGAGTATGTGTGAAAGAAGCAGGAAATAAAGAAAGGAACTCACCTTGTGGTAAACCTGCAAGAAAATAAGCATTTCAGCTCCATACTGTTTCAGAAATAATCCTTGATGTGGTTTGGAACATGATATGGCGTTTCATCACAGCAGCATTTAGCTGAGAATCTCTCGGTAGAATTCTGAGCAGGCATAAGCTCCTACCCCCTCTTTTTTTTTTTTTAAAGCTAAGGGCCCAAAACGGGGCATGGCTTCAATGGGTGATCTGTTTGGTATTTTGAGCAAAACACATCATAGATATGTTTTTTATAGTTTTTTATATATCTGATACCCATAATAGATGCCTAAACATAGCATGATAGGAGATCTTTAAATGTGATGACATATTTTATATTGTAGATCAAGATTTAAACCACTGACCTTATTTGTAGGCATCTCACTGAAAATACATTCAGAAAACACATTGACTTAAAGGGCCCATGTCATGGCCATTTCCACTGATCATAATTCCATTGTTGAGGTCTACTAGAATAGATTTGTGCAATTTTCCAAACTCACATTGGTTTCTCATACAGCATCTCTGTAAACTACGTGTATTCACTGAATTTCACTCTCTGCCTTTAACGGCTCGTTGGAGCTCCAATAGCTCCAGCCCCCACCCTCCCTGTGAGCACAGTGTGCTCTGATTGGTCGGGACGTTGTGAATCGCGCTGAGCTCCGTGGAGGTGTTGTTTCCTTGTTTAGCGATACACAGCCAAACACAGCCAAACTCATCCTGAGCACACACAAACTCACAGCCGAAGTAAAAACAATAAGTGTGGCTTGATATTGAGTAAGAAAAAGGTTGATAAACGCTGTGAGAATGGGTCTGCAGAGAGAATGGGTCTGCAGAGAGAATTTCGCCGCGATCCCAACTGTCTGTTATCAGCCTGCAGCCAGGGAGGAGAAATCAGCTGAGCTGCCTGCTCCCTGCACACAGATGTGTGTGTGAGGAAGTCCGTGGATTGGTCAATTTGGACCAATCAGCGGGGGCTTAACGTAACGGCTCCACGGATTGGTCCATTTAGTTCCGGGTACCGCTTGACATCATGCCGTCCCCGGAACGAAATGGAAGAATCAAATGGACAATGACGTATCTCCAACGAGGAGTTTTGGGGAGGTATTTTCTGTGTTAGAGTTTTACTCACTACAAGGTGTACTTTGAGGGTTTGTGACTCTGCAGACCGTTTACATGCATAAAAACCTTCATAACACACAAGGGGACGGGTAATAACCGGAAAAGCATGACATGGGACCTTTAAAGAGAAAGGAAACTCATGTCAGGGTTAAAGGAGGCCAATTTATGCTTTTTGGAGTTTCCCCTCTCCTGTAGTTTGTTATATAGGTTTGTGTGCATGTAAATGGTCTGCAGAGGCTAAAATCCCTGTGTTCCCTCCAGAGGGAGTTTCTGTCTCACAGTAGAGAGAGAATAAATACATGTTCAGCTACAGGTTCAAAACAAAGATGTGACATTCCTTGAGGCAAGGAGAACAGACAGAGGTTGTTTGTGAGATGTTATATCTCAGTTTGTCACTGCTGTTGGTGTTTTCAAATGCAAATCTTCTGACTGTAAAATAATAATAAAAAGTGCTTTCAAAGTGGAGTTGAGACAGAAACACTAGCTTATGTTATGTTAGCGCTCATATGACAGCAGGTGAACCACATTTGCTCAGAAGCAACACTTTGGCGCCAAATAATGCAATTTTTGGGATTTCTGGCAGACAAAATGCTAACCAAACACAATTCATGCGAATGTATTTCAATTCATGTGAAAGAACTTCCGATTAACAAAATCACCCTCCTGTTTTTGCTGAGGCTCCAGGGTTAGGGTTATTACACCCCCCCCCCCCCCCCCACACACACACACACACACACAACAACACAGACTATAACACCCCTTGCTGTTAAATACCAACCAACTATGTGCAATATGTGCTAGATGTGCAATATATATATAAATGCCGTTAATAACTGTGCAATATATACCTGGCTGCTAAATCCTAAGATCTGTTTCAGGATGTGTATTTTGTTAATTGTGTAACTTTTTATTTGTTATTATATCCTAGTACTTTTTAATGCATGTAACATTATGTAACATATGTAACATTAAGCTGTCTGTGGCTCTTTTTCTGCTGTAACAACGTAAATGTCCCCTCTGTTGGACTAATAAAGGTATTCTGATTCTGATTCTGATTACCTGAGACAAACCAGTCTTTAGTCTCCGTAGAGATACTCTGGAGAGTATTGTGAAAACACTAGCAGTAAGTTATCTTTCCATGAGATGGCTGAGTGACAGAAGTTAGAATGAGTAGGCACAATTTTCAGAGCCAATTATTCCAACAGACTTAACTGGCAGTAAAAGAAAGAGCCTGACATCAATTCCTACTTCCTACAGACTTTGAACTCCAACAAGCTTTCTGTCTAAAGTCTCTGCTGAACCATTAAACGCCTGTGACTGAGTTGAACATCCAGGTTGTGACTGGTCCCCGTGGACAGAGACACGTTGGACAGAAGTACTCCTCTGGGTGGAGTCAAACAGACACAATTAAAGCAGAGACATCTGTCAGGCGTCCATTTGGCTCTGTGACTCCCCTGCCTCAGCTTCAGGAGCTGAACATAGGGAAGCCGAGTGAACATAAGGAACACCATTACTGTAGCAGAAACGGCTCTCAAGCTGACGTATAATGTTTGAATAAAAGCATATAAATGAACTCATCAGGTTTTATTTGAAACAAAATGTATGGGAAACCCGAGTATGTCTGAGAACAAGTTACAGTGGCTCTTCCTGAGGTTCTGCACGCTTTGCTACAGGGGAACATGTCAACACATTCGGTCCAGTGGGCTTAAATCATGTCGCTATTCCTGCTCACCAGAGGATGCACCATATAGATTTTAGACACATATTGAGTATTATTAACACCGCCCCGAAAATCTCATAAGAATACAGCATGCAGAACAGACCTTGCATTTGATTTCAGAGAGCGGGCCCAAGGTAGGTGGCCTGGGCACGTGAGTTTATTTATCTTGCTTATTAATTATAAACATATCTCCCTATCTATACGTAACATAATTACGTATTCACTGACCTGAAATCAACATGGTTGCAGACATACATTCTCATTTAATATATTCAGCATCCCACCAAAGCTGCAGACCAAGAACTGAACCCGCTATTTACCGCAGTAATCAATATAGTGACCTGGTTCTGGACCAGCAGAGTGATAAAGTAGGAACTACACAAACATTGGTGCTACCTGGACCTCTGTAGGGGGGTGCATGTTCTGACACGCTCTTATGTTACTACCATTTCACGTTCTTGTCTACAGTATACCTCCATGGCCTATACACTGACAACAATAACGCTGATTTCTCTTGGTGGGCCAATCCCTGACGGGTCACATTGATGACTCCATCAAAGATGGACAAAATCAAGTATGTTTGTACCGACACAGAACATTAATTCAATACATATCGGTGCCTCGAAGGGACACCGAACTCTTATTTCTTAAATATCTGTTATTATGCCCCCTCTAATGGAATAAACAAACTAAATAAAGAGAACCTCAGCTCATCCATACGCAGGGTTGGAAGGGTTCCTTTACAAAAATATCCCATTACAATAATTGTAATGGGATATTTTTGTAAAGTAATGTAATCAGTAACCCAATATGAGCAACAAAATAAACTGAAGAGAAATATGCTCTCTTTGACTGTATTTGTAATGTATCAATCTCTATTTAAAATGTATTGTAACATTGAAGTCCTGTTAGTAATCCCTATTTCTAAAAAATGAACAAGTAATCTGATTACATCTTCTTCATGTAACTGTAAGGATACAGTCAGATACCTTTTATTTGTTTGTGCTGCTATCGTAATCCCGTTGCATGCAATCCTTTATGCTTGTCAATGGCACATCAACCCTTGTGTATTAACCAAACTGAATATCTTACTCAAGCTTCATTTTAAGAATATTTTTAAAGGCTTTAATGTGATTTATGCTAATGAGCTTTCATGGAATCGTATCTCCCCGTATCAGTTTGCTGCTGTCCCTTTAAGCACTCGGTTTGGCTGTGATTGGACTGATGAGTGTGTGTGTGTGTGTGTGTTTCACTCTGTTCTTCTGTAGCGGAGTGTGTGGGGCTCCTCAGCAGCAGGTAGTGTCCGCTCACACACGGACCCACACACACACACACTGAGCAGCATGAGCACAGTGTCTGAGTCAGTGGTGGGCAGCACCAGGTCTCTGTCCGCAGCCAAGAGACACAAAAGTATCAGGAAGAACTCCAGGAGGATTTATTCTGCCTACCAGGACAACCAGGGGTGAGTGTTCACTTCATCCAGATCACGTTATCAGAAGCCTTCCTCTCTGTCTCCTCTGCCTCAATCTGTCTCTTCATAACTATCATCTCTCTGAGCCTTAAATGACTTCCTGTAGGTTATACAATTACTCATTTACTCAATCTAATTATCATTCTTTACTTCAAAGAGTTTACTGTGTTACCATTGACTACCATGTAGGGACCTTCTGACCTGTTGGTCCTCTATCTGCATTCAGTCTGAGCTAATGGATCACAAGCGCCTATAAACAGTTGTAAGGTTTATTGATTACTTTTCAATTAAATAATATAAAATCTGCATATAAGGTTAAGACACACACTGTGCGTGATCATTGCATACATTTTTTATTGTTATGATACAATTTATCTGGTGTAGCTCCGACAATAACGTGGTGATAATGTGATCAAATGTATTCCAGTGATGGTAGACATTGTTTGGATGAGGAAATGTTCACAACCAGCTGTGAATTTAGTTTTACCCTAATCAAATCCTGTTTGTAATGGTGATGTTTTTTAAACAATGTCTCATTTATCTGCATTACAACATTTACCATTTTTTGTGTCTCTAAATCCCAAACTTTCTTTTGAGTCATTACCAGTTGGAATTGCCATTATGAAATGTTTAAAGTATTGATCAGGACTATTGTTAGATACAATCCTCACATTCTACTGATTCTCAGCAGACGGGGGAGCGTCCCTATCTTTGCATCAATTCTCCTCTATGCATCTGAATTTGAACATATTGAAAATAGGGATTAGATGTCAAATCACCAATCATCAAATCACTGCAGTCAGATTACATTTTATGAAGTTAATCTGATGTAAATGTTGTCCAGCTTTACACATGGACAACTAAATAAATATCTATAATTGGTCCCATTAAATAAATCACATCTTACTATGGAATGTTACTCATACGATCAGTTCTGTGATGCACACAAATAAGCTTCAATAAGAGCGACATGAGGACACACTTTTGAACTGAACAGCAAACTCAGACCTTCATCACCAGATCAGCCGTGCACACAGTTCTCAGTCACCATCTCCAGGCAGAAGGTTGTTCTGTTGGGCGGCTTTATTCAGTCCTCTCATCGTGTTGCTTTGATTCTGCCTGACGCGCTCAAACTTCTTTTGAGAGCAGAACGCAGACTTGTTGAAGACATTTGATAAGCATATTTGTCTTGAATAAGTATTCTGTTGAATAATTAGGGTTAAAATGACTGAAAGAGTTTAGCATTTGAAACTAAAGCAACAGCACTTACAATAGTTTGGCTTATTTTGAGCGAATACATCCGCTCTTTTCTTGATGTTCTGAGTTTTTATCTTTATGGTTTACTGTGGTTTTTATTGTAAGTTGCTTTTGCCAAAAGCGTCAGCTAAATCAAATTAAATTCAGATTCACTTCTACCATCTGGCACGGGTAGACACAACAATCAGCAATAATGATAGTTCAATAATGTTTTATTTAGTTTCATTTGAGTGAAACATAATGCCCCCCCCCCCCCCCCCCCCCCCCCCCCCCCCCACACCTCTGACACATGTTCATACTGTCCCTGATGACGTTGTTTGTCTTGGTTCTTTTCCATACGATGTTTACAGACATTGGACATGACGCATGTTGTTATTTTTTGCAACACTTCCAGGATTTTTGACCTCCTTCTGGATCCATCTTCATAAAACATTCATCATCGTTTTTCTAATTTGGATGGTCTTATTGTAATTGAATGATCTTTGTTTGTCAACACCTACTGCACGATTGTCCGTCCGGGCAGAGGGAACCTCCTCTGTTGCTCTCCTAAAGGTTTTAAAGGTTTGAGGGGTTCTTTGAGTATTTTCCTTGCGGGGGTCTGATGACAGAGGAAGTTGAGACAAAAATGGTTATTTAATGATATGTATTGATTGTGCCCCTGTGTGCTCTGCAGCTCCTCAGATGATCAGGACAAAGAGGATGAGCGGGCGGACAGCAACGACCCGGAGGAGATGTTCCAGAACATTCAGTACCAGAAGGAGATCATCGCCAACATCCGGACCAGACCCTGGCCAATGAGACGCAAGCTCAAAGTCCTTAAGTAGCCACTCACAGTTTTATCCTCCTCTTTCGCTCTCAAACAAACATAAACACGCTGTGCAGATTTTAGAAAATGTACTTTTCCTGAAGAAAGTGCTCTGGAAACAAGTCTGTCAGTGAATTGGAGGTGTGTGCCTCAGCAGGTCACACACCAACACCTGAAGAGGTTTACATGATGCCTGTAATCAACCTAATCTGTATGACAATATAAAAGTCATGTAACCTAATCCCTTTCAGTTATTTTTGGATTACCTCAATATCAAATGCAATGCAAATAAATCCAATACAGAATAAACATCAGTGTATTATGTAAGAACAATGTGACCTTAGGAAAAAAGAAACCATGATATTTAGTATCAAATTATAGGCTGGCGCTACAGAATTATATAGTTTACAAATGCTGTTTTAGTTACATAAATGGATGAATGCACCGCACACCGCGGAGCAGGGTGTCAGATGTGCTTTAGGTTACTAAGGCACTTTGTGAGGAAAATATGGTCATTTTGGTTCAATATTGAAAAAAGTAGTGGTGAATTGTAACATCATTAATTTACTCCAGTATTGTAATTAAGTGCAAATTCGAGGTATACTTTACTGAAGTAATTCCAATGTATACTTCAATATATATATATATGTATACTCTACTATAAAGGGAATTGTTTTACTTTTTACCTTACCAGTTACTTTAATAATTATGATTTCAAATACAAAACTCAAGAGTTTATAAAAAATGATATTTTGTTATTAATCGATTCCAATTAATCTTTATTAAAATGCCAATTTAGAGAAAATAAATTGGCATTTGTACACATTTAAAGATAGGGTAAGTTTGAAAAACCGGCTCGAGATACACTTTTTGTTATATTCCGTGGAATGCTCTTAACATCCCGATAGCAATGAATATCTTAAGTGCTTTGACAAAAAATCCATAAAAAAATGTAATCTGTGGAAGCTGTAGTACTGTAAAAAGCACGACCAATCATTTTAGCCGGCCCGGCTAAAATAACTGGATGGCCTACCTGCCTGTCAGCCTTCCATCTGTGCACAAACTTATCTCGTGCCCTCATTGGTCATGTGCGCGTTCGTGTGTGTTGGAGGAGGGGCTCTGTAAGGAAGTGGCAGATTTTCTCCGGTTGTGTATTTTCAAATTCTAGCGATCTCGAGCTGGTTTCTCAAACTTACATAACCTACCTTTAAGTAACTTGGGGTACTTTTCATTTAATACAATAGGTATTTTTGCTGACATACTTTCTTTTACTTAAATTCATTTTCTTGCATGATTTTCATTTGTGGAGTATTTTTACAATGTGCTATTATTGTTCTTTAACTTAGGTAAAGGCTCTGAATACAGTATATCCACCAAAACTTTGAGAAAGTAAAACCGTTCCGTCACATGTACTTCGAATTGCGTTTATATCAACAATATGGATTCAACTGTATGAATATTCATGGATTAGCATCCCCATGTGGGTATTGTAAGAAAGTACATTAAATATGCTTTTAGTGAATTATTATTGATACATTTATTTAAAGAGTGTCTACATTATGTTAATGTCAATAAATGGTCACATATATGAGACATTTTATAGGATGTTTTTTTTTTTTTTTATGTTGCAGAATTGAACTTAAGCCGAACCCTTACCCATACACTAACATTCTTCCAGGCATCAACAATGCCACATAAGCCTTGTGAGTGTCCACATTTGTGAAGTATCTGCTCCCTCAGTGTTGGTCAGTATAAAGCTGTGAAGGCGGTGTCCTCACGTCTGCCTGAATGTAATTAGAGCAGCTGATAGAGAAGAGGCTGAGCCGGAGAAAACTAGAGGAGATAGAGAGCTTCTAAGATGTGCTGAGTATGTGCCATGGATAACAGGTTTTATATGGGCCGTCCGTTATTACCGCAGAGGTTTTAGTACCATCATCAGGGATGGGATGCAAGTCTGCGTTTTTACACCCTCTTTAATCTCCGGCTGAATGTCTGCGATTACTCCCTCTGCAATAACAGCTCGTATTTCACATCACAAAATCAGTCATTTTTACCAAGATTTTCTGAGAGATTCTACTCATGAGTTACTCTGAACTTTGTCTCAACCCTTATCATAACACATGTAATACACCTATATTGATATAAGTTTAAAAAACAAACCATATGAGTTCTCCAGTTGTCAAAACTGCTTTCCATTGGAGAGTGAGTGAAGTGCCTGCTGAGGGTCCATTGATTAGCACACGGCTCATCGCCCTCTGAAGTGCCCCCTGCTGTGAGCTGCGTTCCCCAGCTTATGGTCTGTAAAGCAACACAATCACCTGCCTCACTGTGAGTTAACGGGACCTCACTGCTGTGACTGGCTTTAGTACTGGAATCACTATAATTTTAAAATGTCAAGTCAATAGTAGTCAGTGTAATGTGTTAAAGAGTATTGACTTCAAAAATTAGTAACCAATTTGCTTTAGACCAAAGAACGAACACTCTGGTTGTAACAATAGAAAAACAAATCTTCCTACTGGAATAAATATATTTAGTCCTCTAAATCCTGCATCTTTAACTACAAGAGATGGACAAAATAGTATGTACATCAGTTGCCCCTGTCCTATATAATACCATCCATTACATGACATATTAAAAAGAACAATATGTCTGAGAATGAGATTGTTGCTAAAGCTCTTACCTCGGGGTTATCTTGAACTCTCAATCATTCTGACCACCGCTCATCACTCAGTTTGTCACAGTCAAATCACTCCTCTCAGAGGGATGTATTGTAAGGAAGTGCGCTGGGCTGCAACTGTCCGTCAGTGACGTCATCTGGCCTAAAAATACTTTGGGAAAGAGAAGTCTGTAAATCAGCGGATAATTTTTTTAAATGCTAATCAACTTCCCTGTACGAGCATTAGAAAAGCCCTTATTTAAATCATAGGTCCAAAAGTTGTAAAAAGCGCTAAAAGCTGAATCCAGAGTCATATTTCCTCAGATCTGGGTACTTTTGCTGTCGAGAGTCAGGACACTTTGGCTTCATGTGCCACTATGCAAATTGAATGAACAGTGTCCACGCCTCCAACGCTGTATCCTGTTGTCTTTATACATCCATGATGTATTGGTGCAAAAAGTACAACATGTCCTAAAGAAATCTGGAGAAGAAGTCGAAATGTTTAGGCATAATTGGAGTAAAGAGTGTGTGTCTTTATCCAGGCAGGCCAGAGAGATCGTTCTGAAGTACGAGGGCCGCCTGACCAGAACCCGAGGGTACCAGACTGCAGGAGCTGACGTAAGCACACACACACACACACACACACACACACACACACACACACACACACACACACACACACACACACACACACACACACACACACACACACACACACACACACACACACCACACACACACACACACACACACACACACACACACACACACACACACACACACACACACACACACACACACACACACACACACACACACACACACACACACACACACACACACACACACACACACACACACACACTCTGCACTATCAGTACTCGCATGTTAGATTGTTTATGCAGCAGTACGTTGAATAGGAAGTTTTGAGCATAAATTCAACGTCACACAGGTTGAATTATTCATATACACAATAATGATTTTGCGAGTGAGTTCCTTTAACGTTCAAGGGGTTCTTTGTGTAATATAAGAATGGAGCAAATAAGAACAATACTACTACTTCCTCCAGCTCTTCAGATTTATATCATTTCTTCAAGGCTCCTTCTCTGTAGATCTACTGAGCCAAGTGGGTATGACTCATTGGGGGGGGGGGGGCTTTGCCCAACCTGAAATGAACCCATATTAACTAAGGCAGCCACGGAGACAGATTGTGGAACATAAAGCATGTGTTTATTTATAATATTACCCGATCAGAACAGTGTCCACAAATCACATAAAATACAACCGTTGTGGTAACGGTGCAGAAATGGAAATGAACAAAGAGGCTCTTTCCTGGAAAGTTCTGTGAATTATGTGCTGGACTCTCTCTGAAGTGCATTTATTTTTATCTGAATGTTTGCTGAGAGGATCTTCTTTGTGTTATTTCACTGCACTGCAGTACGCTGACGATCAGAGCCAGAATAATAAAACATGTTGGACTTCCTTTGTGAGGCTGCTGAGGTTGATTTTAACAAAGCATCTCCCTTTGAGTGAGCTGGACACACACACATGCTGTAGATAACTTGACCTGTGTGTCTGTGTGTTTCATGCAGTCACACACAGAGAGGGAGACAGAGAGACAGACAGCTCTGCAGCTGTAGCACAGCAGCATGAGTGGATTTATGGCCGTTTGTTATAGCTCAGTTTAATTAAAATGTTCAGGCCCATTAGAATAAATTGAGCAGTCTGATGATGAGTTATTATTATTGTACAGTTTGGCTCCAAGTTAATTGAAAATCTGAATTATTGATCCAGCTGACCTTATCTGGATTAATAATCATCTCGCTTCAGATTGTATTTCTCATCACAACATAAGATGTGAAGAGCCTAACAGTCACATCGTTTCCGTTATTATGAGGACAACAGAATGATATCCTGCGTTATGAGATGTGTGCAGACGTCATAAATGTAATGTCATTCATCTGAGACAGCCAGTGGCGTTTTTATATGTACAAAAGTGGTGGGGCACAAAAAACTTAGATGTCTATATATAAGCTTCTGCAGTGACGTGCAGTGAGGTTCATGGCTGGTGAGGCACTGGCACTGACTCTTCAGGTTTACAAATATTATATTTTGACCTAAACCAAAATATAATATTATTTTCAAAAGCTTTTTTTGTCTGATGCTTCGATTAATTTTAAACAGACAGTTCAACAAAAGGATACCCAAAAAATGTCATTTTATCATTTAAATATTGAATTGTTCTCTCTTAGTAAGATCCCATTTTCAATAAAATGGCGGTCTTACCTTGACTTGAAGATGAAGTCCATTTGCCTATCCTTCTGGACAAACATTTCTATTACTTTTTTGTAAAAGTCCTCCTTATGTTCTTGTAGTTTCAAAAGTCTATCATAAATCTAATCCATAGATTTATGATAAAAAAATTATAAAAGTAGGGTAGACATGTGGATGTTATCCGGCTAATCAAAACGTGCATTTATCTAACAGGTACGTTTCCCACAGATCTTATTTCCAGCTATTTTCTAAAATCCTCTGGAGAAATCTCATTGCTTTTTTGTGCTTACTTCCTGGTTTTAGGACGCGTCACTGCAGCTCTCTCGTCTCCTCTTCACACAGCACACTTTTCGCGGCACACGTACTTACAGCCAATCAGCTCTGAATGATTTGAGATGACGTATGGTGGGGATGGTAGCTCCATGCCCCTCTGGTCATTCTTTTTTTGCCAGACACATTTCATTACAAAATACTCTGAGCATGCGCAGTGAAGTTTTTACAGTCACCGTTGACTTCACAGCGAGAGGAAGGGGCATAATCAGGTTTTGTCCCACATGGCTCTAAACAGCTCAATAGGCACACACTGTGACTGTAGACACACTAATTAGAAGAACACAGACTAAAACAGCAATGTACAGACGAATCAGATGATTAAACATGATCTTAAAATATATTTTATATATTTTTTTATTTATTTTTTTGCATTTTTGTAATCATTATTTGTAATACTTTCTGCTGACACTAGGTGGGGCTGTGCCCCACCTGCCCCTAATGACCAGTCGCCACTGGAGACAGCTGCTGTGATTATGGACCCGAATACCTGAAACACTTTTGATTTACATTTACCAGACAAGCCTCAGGAGCAAAGGTTTATGTTATACCTCTGTTCCAAGCCAACAGTCAAGGTTGTTTTTTAAACATGAACAAAACCTCTTATGTTACAACACAACCACACAACCTGAACCGTGGAGGTGGTTTAAAAAAACACTGGAGGATTCAAATTGAACAATAACAGAGTTAGTTGCATTGCATTACAACTGCAGATCTGATGCACATACCCTGTATGTGCATCAGATCTGCAGTGTTTTTCAACCTTTTTTGAGTCACTGTAAATGTTACATTAAAAAAATTCCCACGGCACACCAACTAGCAAAATGTTACTAAATGACAGATTGTAGCCTAATACAGCATATATACAGTATATAATGATAATCTAATGACACGTTTCTCAAATTGGCTACGAGTTCAGCTCCTAAATGGCTAGCTTTGAGAGATCTCTCTTTGTGTTTTTTCTCACAAAAGTTACTAATTTCTCAGATTCCCGAAAAAAAGAATCCGTGTTCTTGTTTTGAAGTGACAGGTGTTTTGTTTGGAGACGACATTCAAGCTATCTTTGGATACAACATTCTCACTCCCAACTCGTACTATAGTGACCTTATGTCAGGATCCCTTGGCGTCACCATCAAACGCAGTGGGGGGGCCTATAGCGTCGATCTTCAACTATCAGGGATAGGGTTGGGTATCGTTTGAATTTCCACGATTCTGATTCCGATTCCGATTCTACTTTTCGACTCCGGTTCTTAACGGTTCTCAATTCCGATTCTTTGAGGGGCAGGGTACAAATTTTGTACATGCTTCTTCCACCAAAAAAACAACATTTATTCGAGAAACATTTACACAGGTTAGTTTACAGTAAAGTACCGAAATGTAGATGCTTCTACTTCTGAGAAGGGATGCAGCCTTTTCACCACAAAAGGGGTGACTTTTCTGTGGCACTCCTCACGTTTCTCTACTGTCATCTTTCCCTTTGCTACTAAGGTGAATGGGTTGACACGGGCTGGGACGGGCTTGTTAGCTTGAGCCGTTGTAGCCGCGCAACTACGCGACCGCAAACTTTCATCTACAAAAATATAGAATATCCACACATTTTACACACAGCCTCTCAAACAAAACAACCATCCTTTAGTTTTGAGTGATATTAACTTAACATACCTGATTGCGAGGGCTCCGCTGAGGAAGCGCTCAGTGTTGGTTGAGTCGGAACGACAGCGGAAGACGACGGTGGATGTGAGGCGGACGGAGATTGGCGCAACAGGTTGAAAACGGTACACTCCTTGATCTGTATACCGTGCAGGCGAAGGTGTTTTGTCATATTGGTCGTGGTCCCTCCTTTGCAGGAAATAAGTTTGGTACAGGTGTTGCACTCTGCCGACCCATTGTCTTTCCTAACAAAGTGAATCCATAGTTTAGAGCGTCTACCGCCATTCATGATCGGTGGTCCCAGGTTACGCTGTAGGAAGTGTAGGTACAACGCTACATTTCCCGCCCCGCCGCAGTCATACAGTAGGCTACGGAGAGCGGCGAGAAACATTTCCTCAGGCATCGAAAAGCGGAACCGAAATTCACATTTCTAAATGATGCCGTTGGAATCGAAATGTTGGAACCGGTTCCGAACCGGAACCGGTTCTCGGTACCCAACCCTAATCAGGGAGTCCCATTGACTTGCATAGAGCTCCCTGAACGTTGGTAATAGACGAGTTGGTATCGCGGAGAAATGCTCTCCGCAGACCCATTCTCACAGCGTTTATCAACCTTTTTCTTACTCAATATCAAGCCACACTTATTGTTTTTACATCTTTATTTTAATTGTATAATGTCGGACTTTTGTTACCGTCAGTTAGGGGGAGAGTAGGGGCTCAGAATACTGACATCTGTATTGTTTCATCGTTTTTTCCTTCTAATTTAGTATTCTTTTCTAAACCACACACTGTTATTTACTCAACAATAAGACACAACTAGAGAATGCAATTCCTGAAGAAATTGCTAGTGGGAATGCTTTATGCTGAAAATCTGACGCTAAACTGCTATGCTGAAATGTAATGTGTAAGAAGAAAGTGAAGAATTTAGATTGAAATGATACATGAACACTGGGGGCTTGAATGTGTGATGAGAGAAGAAAAGAAAGTAAAAAGGCTTGGAAAAGCAGCAGAATATTTGAACTGCAAACCTTTGAACTAACTTGATGGCGAATGATCTGTCGCCATGCCAACGGCATTTGATGACATCCCATAATACGCTTAGATGCGTTGATGGCTGCCTCGTTACTAAACCTGTGAAGTTTTGGGCCGTTTGGAGCATTTTCACTGAAGTTATGAGAAAACCGTGTTTCATGGTGAGCATTGTGTTGCCATGGCAACGGCATTTGAAGAAATCTCAAAACTGTCCCGTAGATGTCTTCACGGCTGGACTGTTAGCACACATGTGAAGTTTGAGCACTTTTTGAACATTTTCATAGGAGTTCATGTATAGCGACATCGTCTTTTATTTTTTCCATGGAAACGGCA